CCCCAAAACCCCAAAACCCCAAAACCCCAAAACCCCATTAACGGCCTTAAAGAATAAAAGTTCTATTAGAAATGGAGATGCGGAGAACTAACTGGTAAACTCTTCCTCAATCTATAAAAACTCACTATTGTTCATTGTTTTAATCAAGTTTTCTAAATTTGTTTTGATCCTTCCTCTAGCGGAGTTAGAAATTTTGGTTCCTTGTACGGGACTGGATTGATTCTCAGAAACAGAAGGTTAGCAATAAAATTATAAGATTTAGCATGATGGCAACCACTTTCTATGAAGAACAGAGATTTGGACTCAATTATTCTGAGGAAACAAGCATTGTAAGAAGAAATATGAGAAAATCAAAAGTGGTAATGACCAGTGGAAGACCACTGGAGTCAGTTCTAAAGCATCCAAAGTTGCTGGATGGAGCTTCCAGAAATAAAGGAGGCGTCGAAAACCGTAAGATCAGTCTTACTTTTAGTCAACCGCACATTTGACGATATTGGAGACATGACAGACAGAGGTAAAATATCTGAAACAAGTTACTACTTATTGGAAGTTTCTAGATGATTTTATAATTTAATTTATAGTCGAACCTAAAATGGGAGATCTAATTAGAGAAAGTAAGCAAGGAATCACATTATGCTTAGGTGTTGATGTACAGAATATGGAAGATCCTGACTCACTAAAGATTAAATGCTCTTCTCCAATGAAGCTTTCTGGAGATGAAGTTAATATTTGTATTAAGTATCCTGAACTCAGAGTTGTGAGATGAAGTGACAAAGTAAGATCTTTGTTTAAATTGATAGAAAGGAATCAAAAACATGCACATGCACCAGGTGGATGAGAGCTGAATTTTAACAGACCCTAAGAAGTTTGATGTAGTGTTGTCTTTTTAATTTTTAGAAAACACCATTGATGAAGAGACTTAACAGGTTGGGAATCCTTAATAATATTTCATAGTGCAAGGAAAAGATTCAATGTAAAAGAATCGATTATCTACTTTGTATCAAAGTTTAGCATTGAAGAAAATGCCTTCTTCTTTGAAAAAGATCTATTGCAGATTGAGCAATGGGAGCAGATATTTTCAGAGTCTATTTACAACGAAGAGATCTGTGTTTTTAGAGAAGATGGGGAGGAATTTATGCTAGTTATCAAAAAACCATGAATTGAGATGAATAATACCACTAAAAATTATACAGCTCAGTTTTACCCTGTTTCAGGCAAAAATAATGAAGAAGTCGAGCCTGATGATATAACTTATAAGGAGATGATACAATGGCTGTTTAATGATTCTACTGGCTGGGAAACAATTGCTCAAGAATATATTGAAAGCTTTCAAATTGATGATGACATTGATCGCTTACTTAAAAATCCTAAAAAGAGATTCTTTACTTTTAATAAGTACGAAGATATAAGAGCATACAAGAGAGAAAGTGATCGAATTAGAGAATTTCCTTGTAAGATGCATAGTTTTTATGCTAAATTCAGCAAATATGATATAAGAAGAGTCAAGAGTCTTTGTATAACTCTCAATTTCAGACTCACAGGATTCACAAGGACATTCATTTATTCTTTCGACGAGTTTTTAGATTTTTATGGCCAAGAAGAAGGCCTTTGTGAAGATGCTCTTGTGGAATCAATTAAGGATTTTTATTCAAATACAGACAATTTATCAAGTTATTTTAGAATATTAACAATAGACACATCTAAGTGTTCTACTCAGAGACACAATACAAAGAAGTCAGTGGAGTGCACTATCGGAAATGCTCATTGCTCGATTACCTTCCCCCATATTGAAGATTATGACTACGAAAAGAACCAAGAATTTACGAAAGTAAAGGTAAAGGACTACAGAAGCTTATTTGGAAAGCTATGTGGTGTCCAATCCAATATTCTGACAGATATGGAAAACTATATTCCTCCTACAAACTGGAGGGAGAGACTTGGAGAATTATATTTCCCATATTAGAAATACTCAATAGAAGTTTGACTATTAGGGGTTTTGGGGTTTTGGGGTTTTGGGGTTTTGGGG